GCCTGGGTGGCTCAGTTGGTTAAGTGTCTGCCTTCAGTTCAGGTCATGATCTCAGGGTCCTGGGACTGAGCCTCATGTCGGGCTCCCTGCTCAGCGAAGAGTCTGCTTCTCCCTCTCACTCTGCTCCTCCCCCTGCTTGTACTCTCTCTCTCTCTCAAGTAAATAAATAAAATCTTAAAAAAGAAAAAAAGGAAATAAGAGAAGAGCATAAATACTTTAGAAATATTTCTGGATTAATCTCTAGTCATTCAAATTGTTCATTAAACATTATCTCTGCACATATTTTAACTTTAAAGATTTTATTTATTTGAGGGGAGGGGCAGAGGGAGAGAGAGAATCTGACTCGCTCAGCGAGGAGTCTGACATGGGGCTCCATCTCACAACCCTGAGATCATGACCTGAGCTTACCCAACTGAGCCACCCAGGCGCCCCCATGGGTTTAACTTTAAATCACAGCGACGTGGCAGTTATATCGGGAAACTGAGGCAGCCTTGTGGTAATGAGATACAGCAAATTCATACGTATGGGCAGCTACACTTTAATCAAAGATGGGCCTAGACTGCTCAATGTAAATTACAATGAGAAACCAGAAAACATCAAAGTAAGTTGCCCTGAATGTTCTGCTGCATTAGCTCCATGGTGTTTTGCCATGTAGAAATGTATAAAATATATCAAACCATGACATTTTCATTTCGTAAGATGGCCTTTCTGCAGCACCGTCCACTAGAACTTGCAACAGTAGAATCGTTCTGTATCTGCACCTTCCAGTATGGCCGCTCTCGTGGGTTCAATTGTGTCCCCCACAGGGGCGCCTGGCGGCTCAGTGGGTAGAGCATGTGACTCTTGATCTCGGGGTCATGAGTTCAAGCCCCCTGTTGGGCATGGAGCCTACTGAAGAAAAAGGAATTGTGTCCTTCCCTGCCCCTAGCCCCCTGACAAAAAGACATGTTGAGGGCGCCTGGGTGGCTCAGTTGGTTAAGCGACTGCCTTCGGCTCAGGTCATGATCCTGGAGTCCCTGGATCGAGTCCCGCGTTGGGCTCGCTGCTCGGCAGGGAGTCTGCTTCTCCCTCTCCCGCTCCCGCCTCTTGTGCTCTCTCTCTCTCTCACTCTCTCTTTCAAATAAATAAAATCTTAAAAAAAAAAAAAAAAAAGACATGTTGAAGTCCTAGCCCTCAGTGCCTTGCCGGTGTATTAAGATAAGGTCATAACTAGATTAGGGTGAGCCCTAAATCCAGTATGACTGGTATCCTTATGAGGAGCTGACATAGAGAAACACACAGAAGATGGCCTTGGGAAGAGGGAGGCAAAACTGGGAATGAGGCAGCTGCCAGCCAAGGAACACCGAGCACTGCTGGTAATCTGCAGCAGCTGAAAGGCGCAAAGACTCTCCCTGGATCGATCAGAGTAAGCACGGCCCCGTCGATACCTTGATTTTGGACTTCCAGCCTCCAGAACTGTGAGAATCAATACATGCTGTTTTCAGCCATGCAGGTTACAGCGTGGTAACCTGTTACAGCAACCCAGGGGCCCCACATGGCTAGCTATGAGCCCCTGACATGTAGCTAGTGAGGCTGAGAACTGAATTTTAATTGTAATTAAATGAAATAGACACATGTGGCTACTGTGGACAGGGCAGCCTGATCAGTTTGTAGGACTTCTACAATAGTCCTATACATCGAAGCCCGTTTAGTTGACCGTTGAACAACACGGGACATCGACCCCCTGCGTAGTCAAAAATCTGCAGATAACTTTCGACTCCCCAAAACTTAACTCCTAATAGCCTCCTGTTGACCAGAAGCCTTACCAACATAAACAGTCGATTAACACATATTTCCTATGTCGTATGTGTCATATACTGTATTCCTACAATAAAGCTCTCGTAGAGAAAACACAATGTTATTAAGAAAATCAAGGAAAATACATTGACAGCACAGTACTGTATTTATTGCAAAAAATCTGCGTAGAAGTGGACCCATGAAAGCCCGTGTTGTTCAAGAGGCAACTATATTGAGCTGATTGTTTGAATTAAAATTGAGAATAATCATACTCTTACTAGTGAGCTTTCATTAAGCACACACTCTCTTTCACTGTATATGTATGTACATATAATCTTTGCTCTAATGGTCAATAAAGCATCAGCAACGGTTAGCTTCCAAATTCCAATCTGGTCATCTCTGAACATTTTCAAATATGCTGAAAGTATATAGAGGTGTCCACATACAACTGAGCTAAGATCCTTAAGCTCTGAATTCACAAACTTAAAATGCTATTTTTCTTATTTCATGATCAAAAAGCTCCATTAGTTGAGAGATGCTATTCAGACTCACTGAATACTGAATTAACGAAGTGTGATGAATGGGACTTTATGAAGTATTCATGAGTCCTGATTTAACACTAATTAAATAAAATTTTATAAAAGGCCAGTGTTAAATGATTTTAAGACCCTGGCACAGACTGACAAAAGCACAAAAAATTAAGGTTCAGGGGAAAATATGATCCAAAAATCACAGAGTTGAATTACGCAAGCAGGGAGCACAACATTTATACGTTTTTGGTATGATGGCTTTAGCATGCAACATTTGACTAATTTTAGAAACCACTTTTTGTCTATTGGTTTTAATCAAACTGTAATGATCGAAGAAACAGATATTTATGCTAGTCACTCTTGGTCTGCCTAATGCATACCAGACAAGTGAAGGATGTCTTTCTCTCCTCCGAGGTGGCTGAAACATTTATTATTGAATTCCATATTAAAGGGTAATTCTTAAAAATCACAAATGCCACATAACATTAAGATTTGCTGTGCTAGGTTTCATTTCTTTTAAAGATTTTATTTGAGAGAGAGAGAGAGATTGCACACGAGGAGAGGGGCAGAGGGGGAGGGAGAGAAAGGGAGAGAATCCCAAGCAGACTCCCCACTGAGCACAGAGCCTAATGAGGGGCTCGATCCCACAACCCTGAGACCATGACCTGAACTGAAATCAAGAGTCAGACGCTTAACCGACTGAGCCACCCAGGTGCCCTCAGTTTTGTTTTGTTTTTTAACAGCACATCCATTTGGAATTGCTTCATATTACAGGTGGAGAGATATGGTGAGGAACCCAAGTGATAAAAATCTGCAAGCTATTTTGGAGCTCTAAATGAATAAAAATTTGGCATGCCAAATATATTTAGCAACTTCAATTCTTGGTCTAATTGAGAATTAGACTGTCAATAGGAAACTATTTCCTAGACAGGACTGGACTGAAGATACCAACTGTGATATCCAACCGATATAAAAATGCAATTTTACTTAGAATTAAATCTTAAAAAGCCAGCATATTTTTTAAAGTAAAAATCTTGGCTAAATTAACGATGGCCCACCCTTTCCAGGTACCCTATGTTAAGGGCCTCTGTTGTATAAAGAATCAATGAATCAGAACCTTAATTTTAAATAACCTTAAACTTTTAAGTAAGACATTTTCTAATTGGGAATTTTGGAGACGTTCAAACTGTAAAAATGGTAGGATAGTCTCCTAGAAAATATTTAGTTGAGGGACAATGAGAGGAGGTGGAACTAACTTTTAAAAGCTATACCTGAACGTTCGAGTTCAGAGGAAATCCCTACTGTTGGGGAAAGGCATAGGATCGGGGAAAATGAGGGATAAGAACCATGTGACTGAGTGTTACAAACAACTGATGAGAACCATTAATGCAGGTCAATTACAACTCCGAGTGCCCATGAGGTGGGGCTCAAGTCTCAAGCCCCCTTTCTCAAAAGATACTAGACACAGCAGACTATTATCGAACAGCCATTAAAACAATTATATTCTTCCTCATTTATTTGCATGTTCACAATGGATTAAAATGTTCAAAATTATGAAACAATATACATAGCATGATTCTATTTTTATTTAAAAATAAAACAAGACATATACATACATGTAGGTAGAAAAAAGTCTGAAAGGGTACAACATCGAAGTGTGAATGGCAGGGGTGGTGGTTACTGATGGCATGGTAACAGATTTTGTATTTTCTTCCGTAGATTTTTCTACACTGCCTAAGTGCTCCCTGGTGAACACGGGCCACTTCAAGGAAGAAAAACAACAAAGCTACTTCCATTCTGGGAAAAAAAAAATGTCAGTGGGTATTATAACCAATTTAAATCACTTGGAAAATAGGATTCATTTTATCCTAAACCTACTAGGGTCCTCTTTACTATAAAAAAAAACCACACAAAATGCTTGTAAACGTATTCCATAAATATACCATGTACTATTATGAATGATTATACTTTGCTTTATGAGAATTTCTCTGTAAACTAAGCTTTTTAAGAGAAATTATATTTGAGTTTGCTACCTAAATCCCAGGCCTAATCCCCGTGGGTAAAAGAATGTCTATTTCCTAATTTCTCATGTGAAATCCAGATGTTTTGCTTAAAGTGAGATTTATTTTATTTTTATTTATTCCTGAGAAAGGAATCCACCATGCTTTGATTTAGGTAACCAAATGATCTGGAATTCCCATAATTACTGTAAATGAGATATTATGATTCATATAGCCAATGTTTTACCTCTGTTTTCTGCATATTCACTACAGGTAAAATGTAGTAAAAAAACCGAAAAGTAAGGAAACATACGTCTTCTAAGTACTGACCAGCAAGAGCCACGGCAGATAGAAACAGCTTTATTTTTTTTTTTCATTCAAGATTTATCAAATGGACTGTTCAAAAGGCATACACGAGAGCAAAAAAAATCACATGCAATCAGACTTGTTTTGTTTTACAGTCACTGGTTTTCTTTTGGAAAAGAATACACGTTTGAATAACTTCTAGATCAAACATTATGTTTCCATTTCACTTCCTTCTTTTCTTTAAAGTTAGAAACCACCAACACTTTCTAGATAGCTGGTCATCATATTCCTTCTCATTTTTATTCACACTGAAATAGTATAAAGCCTATAAAATCAAACCACATACTGCTCAGATATCTGAAAAGGTTCATTTACATAATAGGTTCTGCTATGTTAAGAAACCACACACAAGAGGTATTTTGCAAAATGGATAAAAAATAGGATACGCTGTCTGAAAGCAAAGATAAACAGTAATAATTTCTTATCTAAATAATTTTTAATCAAATGAATAATATATTCATTTGGTAATAGCCTCTTTTATAGAATATTAAAAAAAGTGCTCAGATTACATTTTTAAAAAATAACAAAAAATCTCACAGAACTGGAAGAATTTAAATAAAGACGGCAGTGTGGAAAACCTCAATTACATTTCTGCTCCTGAGACGAGGAGGCAGGTGTGAATTTACCTGCATCCATGAGGGAACTACAACTCTAAGAGGGTAAATGCGCAGCTTCCAGCCTTGAAAACATAGAAACTGTCTTTGAAAGGTTCTCAAGTGTCTTTCTTTGGATGAAAGCCATGAACATAAAACCAGATTTCTCAGCTAGACTGCACGTCGACTGGCAAAGCCGGGTCACTTGCCTTGCTGTCCTTTTCTAGCACGCTATTAATACTCAGCCAGGGCGCAAAAGAACAAATAATTAACTCATTAGGATCAATACACTATCGATTCCCAAAAGAGCAGCACATGAATACAGCAACCGAGCAGAAGAATCTTCGTGCCCAGTTCTCTCTGGCAGTTCACTGCAGCCAACCTTGAATCCTGCCCTCAGGGGCAGCACCCCGGTTCCCAGACAAGGATGTGATCGATCACTTTCCTCTGAAGGAACCCTAACTGAATTCTGCAGGAGGAAACCAGAGTCATGGTACGATGTAAGAGTCAGGTTTTCCTTTCATGGGATACTCAAGAGTTGTGATCTTCAGGGCTCCCGTTCTACCCGCCAATCACGGACCTAAGAGTGGGTGTGATGCAGATGGCAGCAACGTGAACATTCCAATGCCAAGGGTACCAAGATGCGACCCAACCCACTGACTTTCCTAGTACTCAGATTACTCACAACACTTCCGAAGTCCTACTTTGAAACTTCTTTCAAAACTCAGGCATGTCCACAAAGCAGTGTATACAGCATAATTCTATTTATGTTCAAATTAATGTATGTCTGTGTGTAGATATATAACAGTTCTCTCCTTCTCTGGTATGGTAGAATTTCAGATTCTATTTATAGTTTTATTAATGTCTGAATTGCTTACAGTGAGTACCATTTTGTAAACCTAGAAACATTAAGCTATCTTCATTTTAGAGGGAGAAAGAAAAAAAAGTTCTGTAGGTTCTGAAGGCAGTTCCAAACAAGAGCCTATCAAATACTCTTGGGAGGCTATTTTGAAGAACAAAATCCCAGAAGAATGCAAAATCCACACAATCAGAGAAAATGGCTTTCCTCACTCCTCTATCCTCAGTTGGCAAAATACCTGCGTACGGCAGGTGTTACACACACACACACACACACACACACCCATCTGAATGAATAAATACAGTTTATTTGGATGTTGAATTTCTAGACATGTGATTTTTAAAATCATTGTTTTATGATCCCTCTTTTAGCTAACTGAAATTATTTTCTAATGTCTTACCCAAATTCAGTGCCTTTAGGAGGAAAGTTTAAAACTAGTAGTGGGTTTCAAAGTACTACGTTTTATAGTATGGTTTTTAAAAAAGATCAATAGAAAACAGGCAAAATGGGCAATGGGATGAACTCCATGGCCAAGCTGCTGACACAGAAGATGGGGGTCAGCTGAGAAAGAGCACAGGAAACTAACCCTCCTCTGTCATTATCATCTCCAACACAGCTCCGTTCTGTGAACCAATATGCTGAGTCTCCTTCCTCCTAGCACAGGGCCCGCCACCTTGATGGGGGTGGACAAGGGACATTTGCTGACTGGGTGAGGGGCCAAAAGAAAGTGAGAGGACAAGGAGCTAGCATGTGCTGACTCCCAAATCAAAGAGCAAGAAACGGATTGCTCCACCTCTTGCCCTGGAACAGAGGTCAAAATGATTCCTACGCTTCATTAAACATGATTTGTTGCACAGCTATAAAAGTAGTCAGATATTAACTAATTTTTAATCAATAACCAAAGACAAGTGTCCTGAGTTCTAAGGAGTGTGTATAGTTACTTCTGATGGGTCTTAGGTCAAGGCAGGAGCCAACATTTTTCCAAAAAACAAAACAAAAAAACCAAAAACCCAAACAAAACCTACAAAAACCTCCATTTCTGAGATTTTTAGAAACAGAGCAAATAATATATATACAACTAGGGTAATCACATATTTTGTTGTCCAACTGGGATACTTTTGAGAGTAAGATTATTTGAGAGTAATAATTATACTAGGAAAAACAAGTGTGCCGAGACAACAGATATGACGGAGGCTGTCCTGGGTAAACGAACATCTGATGTTCACACGACGTCCTTTCTTTAAGGTTTGTATTTTCTTTCTCTGAGTTTTCTATTAACTACGTAACATTCGGCAGTAATACTGAACACTGAGGAACAACAGTTCTGTTCTCTTGAGAAGACGTTTTCCAAGAGAGAAAACCGACACCCCACCTTCTCCCCAGCCTTCCAGTCTTGGAGCATAAACTAATGTCTTAAATGGATCTGAGAAAAGTCTGCTGTAATTTCTTTGACAAAAAAAGCACGATGGTGATTTAAATGACTTAAGATCCACTTATTCATTTTACTTTCCAAAATATTAACACAAGGAGTTTATACCGTAGCTTGTTCATAAAACAAACTTCCAAAATGATAAACCCCCACGAGGAGGCTAGGTCACAACCTATTTTTAAAATCTTTATATTAACCAGGAGATTCTCACAAATACATTGCCACAAAATATTCTAGAAAAGCCACAGAGAGTCAAAATAAAAAACGCCTCCTCTGTGGGCAGGCCGGGAGCCTCCCTGGGGCGCGGGGGTGAGGGGGTGAGGGGTGCAGATGACCTCAGTTCCGCAGCAGCAGCATCCGCTCGGAGCACGCCTGCCCCACCAGCCCCGCATACTGCAGCACGGCGGCCTCCTCGCTCGGGTCCTTCTGCTGTTTCTTATAAACGCCGTAAGGCATTATGGCTTTCTTGTGGAACACCTGCAAACGGTCAGGCTCCTTACTGCGACCTTCGTCCACTGCAAGGACAAAGAAAAGTCACAGGTCAAACTACTTTTTATATCCGAGTGTAACAATATTTAATTCGAATAATAATGACGCATGAAGATGTCCTCCTTGAGCAGTATGTTCCAACGAGGATGTTCATAAGTAATACCCTGCTGACAGGGAAGAGATTCCCTCCCCTGAGAGAGCTAAAACATCAGAAGAGAACTGTACGCAATTAAAGAACGGGTCTTCAACACATTATTTTCTCCTCATGGTCAAGTTTATAACCGTCTTGCCTGAGTCTGAACTGCGCTGATTTTGCCTCCCCCCCAAGCCAATGTACTGTCCGAGGTTTTCATCCCTGCGACAAAGCCGTAAGGCAGTGGCCTGGGCGGACTCGAGCCAAGCAGGTCCTGGCACTGGGGGCAGGTTCTGGGGGCAGAGGGCAGACGCTTACAGCTCTCTGCGGGACAGGGCAGGGACGCCTAGCGGCTGCGGCTCTCCCTTCTCCTCTTTTTGCAGATAAACAAAACCAAGCAGAAGTGTTCTATGGAAGTTTCTAGGCATCTTTTAAGAGAACAGCTGGTCTGCGCCCTTCAACCCTTCCTTCACTGTGCTGCCTGCAACATGAACATCACAGCAGGAGCGTTAACCAACCCTCCCCCCCCTCGCCTGAGATTAGATTTCCCTTAGGTCAGAAAACACAAAAGCCAGAAGGAACCCGGGTACCTGAGGACTCCGCATAATAAAACTACCGTACCAGCCCTGGACTACCTATGTAAAGAATTTCATAGAAAAAAGAAACTATCTTGTTTAAGCCAACTTACTTTAGGTTTCTACTATTGGCAGTTGCTCCTTATTCTAATACAGGGAACAACTTTGCACTATCAACTAAAATGGACCATGTCTTTATCACTGATTCAGCCAGGCCACTTCTAAGAATCATCCCACAGATGCGGTTCTCAACCCTGACCACATACTGGAGTCATTCAAGGAACTTTTTAAAAATACCAAAAAAGTTCTGGATCCCACCTCCAGACATCCTGATTTAGAAAGTGTTCTGAATAAAACCTGAGCATCTGTATTTTCTTAAGCTCTTTAAAGTGGGTTGAGTTGGGGCACCTGGGTGGCGCAGTCGGTTGAACTCCCAGCTCTTGGTTTTGGCTCAGGTCATGATCTCAGGGTCGTGAAATCAAGCCCCTTCGTTGGGATCAGCACAGAGTCTTCTTGAGATTCTTTCCCCCTCCCTCTCCCTCCTACCCCCACTCACTCTCTCTCTCTCTAAAATAAATGAATAGATAAAAATCTTTAAAAAATAATTTAAAAAAAAGGTGGGTTGAGAACCACTATTGTAGAAAAACACACACAACAGTATTTATGTATGTGCATAAAGATATTTATAGCCACACTCTCAGCAGTACCAAGAACCTAGAAACAACACAAATGTTCACCATGGAGAACTGGTCAAATAAGTTAAGGTATATGCATATAATAAAACGCTACACAGCTATTAAAGACAAAGGAAGGTAGATTGTTAAGTGAAAAAACCGGAGGTACAGTGTAAGCTACTGTTCTTTATAAGCCTAGTATATGCACAGAAAAAATCTGAACAAACATGCATCAACCTTTTTACAATACTTCTCTCCATTCCCTTTGCCTAGAAAGACCCCTCCTTCCTCCAGGAAAAAACATGGCTCGCCCTCTTGCTTCATCAGATGACTTCAAATGTTGGCTCCTCAGAGAGCCTTCCCTGACTCTCTATAAAACAGCATCCCCGCTCTCCTTGCTCTCCTTAACTCCCTTCATGGCACGGACTACCACCTGACATACATAATTATTGTCTGTTTCCTTTTCCACTAGAAAGTTCTATGAGAATTCAAATTAAATGAAAAATTGTGACTGCTCTGCCCACTAATATTTCCCCGGTGTCTAGTACAATGCCTGACAGTAGGTGCTCTGTACATATTTGCTGAATGAATGACTGAGTACACATGGGAAACACACACATACACATACTCTCACCATTTTTTGGATTTTCTATAATTGGCACAAGGCTTTTATAATTTTAAAAAGTTGTTTTTAAGGTTGATTTAGGCATTTTTTAATTAATTTGGGTCTTCTGAAAATGAAAAGTGGGAATGCTAGTTTCCTTTTCAACAAAAGGATTCTTTTAGAAGATTTCTCAGGGTCTTTCAGCTATAAACTTCTTCAAGTCAAATCATAAACATAACAGCTTTCACAATAGAGTCGCTATAAATTCAACATTTTATTGGGCACCTCACAGAAGGCTCTATGTGTTTGAACATTTGAATTGGATTACATCCCTTTTTATTGTATAATGGAAGCAACAATTAAATGTTTATTCTTCCTCAACTGATGCTGCTTCCTCTACTGGGTATTCATTAATTAGTCTGGATTAATCATGCAAGATCAGTTTCAGAAGAGACAGAAGTCACACTATTTTTCCAATATCTAAAAGAGAAAGAGACATCCCATTTTATGGACTCATGTCATAGGCTAGCTGATCTCAATCATCAGAAAGTGACAAAGTGAGGGCATTCCAAAACTGACTGCACTGTACACCTGTTTATAAATTTGTTAGAGATACAAGCTAATCATGTACTATTACCCCCAAAGAAATTCTCCATTGTCAGAGAAGGCCACGTTGGTCCACTTAGAACCCCACTTGGGAAGGCATGCAGACGTGAAGGGTAAGGGGTCACCAAGGATGCCAGCCAGAGGGCCCTCATGCCCTCAGAACCGAGTGCAGGTGTAGTTTTAGATTTTCACTTTACCCAGGACACATTCGAGGGAGATCAAGGGGCAGGGGGACAGCATCTGGAGGAACAGGGATCCAACCCCTCACTACTGATTTATCTCCAGTGCCATGCCCGGGCCGGTCTAGCCTCCCTGCTTCTACCACTTGGCTCTGCGCTGCAGGAGGCTGGAGCCAGGGGAGACAGAGCCAGGGTTTCTTCCCAAAACCTTTCGTCTTTCTTCCTTGGCTCTGCTTTTAGGCAGGAGCTCCAGCTACTACTTTTTTTTTTTTTTTTTAAAGACTTTATTTATTTATTTAACAGAGAGAGACACAGCGAGAGAGGGAACACAAGCAGGGGGAGAGGGAGAAGCAGGCTTCCCGCAGAGCAGGGAGCCCGATGCGGGGCTCGATCCCAGGACCCCGGGATCATGACCCGAGCCAAAGGCAGACGCCCAACCATCTGAGCCACCCAGGGGCCCCTCCAGCTACTACTCTTAAAGTGGTCAAGGTTCCAGCTTCTACTGGTAGCCCTGGCGTGGCTCAGGGGTGGTCCAGGAGTGGCCCAGGAGTGGCGGTGGCTTCCAGCTATCACTCATCTCTGGGTCACTCTGTGCCTTGCCCAGCTCTCAGCAGCACCACTCTCTGTTATCACCAATTCCCTGCATTAAGTGTTCTCTGTTGTAAGTACCCCAAGTGGTTTTGGTACTCTGGTTGACTATACCAACTTCAAAATATGTGTTTTTAACAAATTACTCTGTCCAGCTGAAGCAGAAAATCCACATACTTTAACTCAGAACAAGGCCTCAGAAGTATTTGGAGTAAAAACAACTAGCGAACTTGATTGATTTCTGTGCTATAAGCCTCTCTAAAAATGCTATAAATTAATTTAGAAGCTTTATGAAAATTAATTAGATATATGTGTTTAACAGTAGATGCAGCGGCATTGCATCACAAGCCAACTTGGAATTCAGTAGTTGAAGCTTGCATATTTGTATGAAATATTTCGCATTTACTAGGTTTCCACACCCCTTAACTAGGGTAAGTGACAAAGGAAAAGGGCAACAACCTGGTTCCTGATGTCAATTTCAGGCATTTTAATGTCCACACACTGCAACACAGACAACTAAGTCACATCACCTGGGTATAAATGTAGCAAGAAAAAGGTAGGTTCAAATACGTTTATAGTCTGATACAAATAGAAAACTGATACAGGTCACTGAGAGCAGCAAAGGAGAAGAACACTGGCAAACTGTACAAAATCTTCTAAATCTTTACCTTTGAATTTTTTAAACTGGAATTTTAAAGTATGTCTGATGAGAGACAGCAGCAGAAAAATGTTCACCTTTAGCCCAGAAGGCTGACCTACAGCCTGCAGAGTTCTGATAAGGATCAAATATGTGCCGGTTGCTACATTCTTCAAGGGTCTCATGACTGCCTGTACATCTCACCGATAGTTAACATCAAGCTGAATGATAAGCACCAGAGAAATCTTGCAGAAGTAGTTTTATGAGTAGAAATTCGCAGATGTTTATGATCTAATACTCCCTGCACATCCCCTCCCCTTGAGCACTAAGCATATAACCACCAGCTTCATTCAGCAAACATGCACCTCTTTCTGCCCATAAGTCCTTTCCCGGTGCTGTAATAAAAGCACCTTTTTGCACCGAAATCATCTCAAGAATTCTTTCTTGACCATTCATGCATGGCCCCACATCGTATCTATATTTAACTTTACAGAATGATGTGTAACCGTTTAAACCTTTATCCTAAAATATTTTAGGACAAACATACTTCAAGATTCAAACTGGAACACTCTAGCAAATAAAAATGTTAAGACCTGATATGCCATCATCTTATCTAGAACGAAATGCCACTCTCTAATTTTTATTCTTTGCTAATATGGCATATAAAAATAAAAATAGAAGATTAGGAAAAAGCCCACCATTATGCAGAATGTACAGCAACTATTCTAAAGTGCTCCTCCAAAAGAGTAGGAAATTGTATATTGTTTCGTTTGTCAAAATATAGATTTCATTTCTCTTTATTAAGATTACAGGAAGAGTTTTCAATGATATGCAAGTCAAATTTGGGAGAAAGACTACAAATACGCAAGCTTCAACTACTGAATTCCAAGTTGGCTTGTGATGCAATGCCGCTGCATCTACTGTTAAACACATATATCTAATTAATTTTCATAAAGCTTCTAAATTAATTTATAGCATTTTTAGAGAGGCTTATAGCACAGAAATCAATCAAGTTCGCTAGTTGTTTTTA